TGAAAATCAACCCACAATCCTCAAGGTTGAAAACACTATCCATCAATAAGAAAAACACTAAGATTTAACGTGGTTTGGTCGATCAACTTCAATCTACATCCATGGGGCACAATACAAGAAATCCACCGTGTATCATGGAGAACTACAAGAAGAATCACTCAACTCTTGTGACTCAATCTCTCAATCTCACATACGTAATTAAGCTCTCGTATTCTCTCTAAAGCCCTCTCCTTACAATCATTTGGATAGATAAAGACTGTGAAACTCTCTCCTAAATTTGTAATCTTTTGCATGGGCAAAGACTATGAAACCCTCTCCTCTCACACACTATCCTTGAATTCAGTTTACGCCCTCTGTTGACCTAGATTATAAGAATAGCGGCTCTCTCCTTCTCCTTGATTTTTCTCTAATAATAGAAGATTATATATAAGGAAACCAAGATCCTATTCCTAACCTAACTTCTTAATTAGAATAGAATACAAATTCCTCATCGTGATAGGACCCAATCTCCTAATCATGATAGATCTCTATTCCTATCTAATTCTCATATAGTCATATAAGGAATCAAAGACACAATTATGGTGTTCGCTCACCCAAGATACATTATTCACAAAATGATACGATAAGAGTCCTAGTCAACTCCTAAGAGTTCTAGGCATTTCGACTCATAAGTTGATTATCAAGATATTGGCTCTTTATCAAGATAAGCCCAAGGCACAACGACTCCTCAGTCGAGTATCAAACCCTTAGCTCTTTATTAAGGTAAGCCCAATGCACTACATATGATCGAATCCTCCAGTACAACTCGACCATCATAGCCAGATTACAAGACTTTGGTATCTTACCAAAGTATAAACCCAATGCACAATTACAGAGGTCTCGGCCCCATCGACTCATCAAACCGGCACCCTGGTGTCGACACAAGAGGCGATACTAGCCGATACGAGAGATCCTGACATGCCAGACGAGTCGATATCTTTATATCGACCAGAAAGACGCTTATAAAGCTAAGATAAGACGGCGTCTCACTCAGTCGGACAGGCCGACACTCTTAAGTCGACACGAAAAGCAGTGCCGATCGACCCTTTTATCAAGGACGATCCTATTTAAGGCACTCGGTCACTCACTGGGCATTTCTCAGAAACGACTTAAGAGACGTTCCCTGCTGTCGGCTAAGTTAAGGACTCAACCCTGGTCTCAAGTCTCTTCCCCCGAGCAAATATCGACATCACAGTCCACCTCGAACAAGTCTTATCCAGATATTGGCCTGACAAAGTCTTCATGACTTGTCTGCTCAATCACTTCTCAAAAATTACGGAGATACATTCTTCCATAATGAAGTGACTTCTCCTCCAGTCGTCAGTCGACACCTGTAAAGCAAGGGATGACTCAGCATGCCCGTGTGCCTTCTGCCATGCTCATAAGTCACTTCCCGAATATCACGGAGACACCATCTCCTATGCTGAAATGACTTCCCTTCCAGTCGCCAGCCGACACTTGTAAAGAGAGGGATGGCTCATCTTCCAGCTCACGCTTTGTCACCGCTATTCTGCATAACGGAAATGACCAATCTACCACGGACATCCACGCTATATATGGATATTGTTCACCATCAAAAGAGAGAGAGCCCTCCATGAAATTAAGGTAAGAAAACAAATAACAATCTAACTCTTCTAGTCCATCCAATCTGACAGATGATAATCTCTAATGCACATAGCATAAGAACGCATAGTTCTAAACTCCACTCAAGCTCGTGTTTACCAACTGACTTGATCGTCGGAAGAACCACGGGGGAACCGGTCCCCGCCCTCTCACGAGTTATTTCTGTCTGTGTAGCGTGGACATCGGATCCTCATTCAAGAACTAGGCGTAAAGCTGGAGAAGGGAACGGACCCTCCATCATCCTTCACCACCCCGCAACAATCCTCTTCTGGATTAATTGACTGTTTGATATCGAGCATCAACAGACCCAATCCCTACAGAAATGGAATGAGATTTTAATATTCGACCTATGTCCAAATGTATCTTGCTTTTGGTGTAGAAAAGTTTCATCGTGGGTGTGAGGTTTAAGGTTTATGAACAACTAAGGCAGTGCACCATTCTCAAATTGAATTTCCTTTTAATTATTTTATGAAGATAAAACCTTCAATCTTTGGGCAGTTTTTGGTGGTTTCTTCTTCGGAACAAGATTGATATATGACACCTCACCGAATCGCTAACCTTCTAGATTTTAGGTGATGCTTGTGTTACAAATAATTTCGGCAGACAATCTAGGACTATGTAGAGGGTTAACATCATGCTGACAACCATTCTAAAAGTTTTGGTCAATCCTTATTATTTTAATTGAAAATATCTTGAATAATGAAAAGAATTTGTATCCTTTGAAATCTCATTTTAGTTTGTTGTCCAGCTATGGTCTTCTTAGAAGCTTCAGGCCATGTATCTCTTATATAATTATCTACCTATTCAATATGAATAGGCCTGGTTGATCTTGATGTCTCACTTGTATAGCTTTTTAATTTTTGACTGTAGATTTTTGTTTTACAAACATATCAGTGTTAAATCTGGGTCATTTTTAAACTCTTCATCAAGTCTGAAAGGTCGAGGTTATGCTTTTTCAGCATTTTTCATGACTTTGTTCTTTTCAGGGAGAGGCGAACAATGTTCAAGGAGGTTCTTTTATCTTGATCAGAAGATACATCATGTCTTCTTTGAGTTTCGTACATGTTTCGTCATCAGTTAATTGTCCTTCATCATTCACCTTAGATATTAGATATGGGGAGTTATAGTTCTTAAAGCTTGATATTATAAATTATTTTAGAAGAAGGCATTCACTTCTCTTCAAAATTTTATTTGGCCATATAAAGTGTTTCCAGGAATTGAGCTCCATCTTAAGTACTTTTCTTGTTAGTTAGATTATAAGTAAATGAGTTTATTACATCCCTAATATAAAAAATGCCAATGTCTTTATCATCAAAAGACGATGTTAGTTGTTAGTTGGTGTCTTTGGTTTATTTTCTGCAAATATGTGCATGGCAGTCCTAAGATGTATCAATTTATTTTGCTTTTTCATTTTGTGGGAGATCTCTGGTGCTAATTAAATATCGTAACATCTAGAAGAAAATGATGGTTACTCTAATTTGCATAAAAATTGTTTTGACAGTTTTATGAGCATCTAAAGATGGAAATAACTGCAACGTCTGTCATTGAACCTGCTTAAATTATTTTCTGTCACTATAAGAAAGCCCATGGTTTGCACTTTGCAAATAGTAAGTAACCCTTTATCAATGATCAAATAATAGTGTATGAGAGCATATATGAGAAGATAGCTAGAGGGCATTGGAAAAAAAAATCTGAAAGAAAGGAAAGAAACCCCCTGTAGTGGGGAAAAAACTCGCCAGAAGGGGGAGAAACTCCCGAAATAGGTGGAAAGGAGAAAAATATTTAGAAGAAGAAAAAGGAAAAGCAACGGATACCCCTTGCTGGAGGATGAGTTATTAACTTGTCAACTTCTGGTGTGTGTGCATATGTATCAAAAAATAATCAACAAGTTTAAATTGAACGAATATTTATTTAGTATGTGTTTTACATATCTTATCTTGCGCCTTAGCATCATCCTCTAATAGTTTGGGTTGGTGCCACACTGAGTGAAACATGACGCAAAGTGAAATGGGTATTTGTTTAGAAACCAAGCACAGGCAGTGTCCTATCCACACATACCTACACCAAAAAGCTCATGCCTATGAGCTGATCAAAGCCTGCTTCATGCCCTATTATTCAGAATTTTGTTTGAGATGCCAATAACTTTTGTAGATTATTGATTTAATGAGAAGTAGTGATAGTCACCAAGAAGTCATAGTCACCAAGAAGTCGTGGCATGACAATTTCCAAATTGATGAGGTCTATGAATGCCTCAGTATTATGAAGCAAACCAGTTTTTACCATAATATATGTATGCAGAACTTTGCCTCTGATTGGAATGATCATTCTATTGTCTGAAGAGACTTCTGAATAGCTCTAGAATGTTGCAATATGAGCATTGTAGCATATGAAACTGACTACTGGATTCAGATTAGATGATAACCTGTTACTTAAGGTTGATTATCCCTAATTTATCCTTCGACCTCTGTGTGCGTCCTTTTTGGGACATTGCAGGATGTTGAGGGAGTAGATAGGTTGAAGAGTGCCGGATGTGCTAAGATTTGGCACTCTCCAAGGTTCTCACTCCTTGATTATGCATATTTGTTTTCTGTGGTAAAAACACTTTAGATAGGTTCTCATCTGTTGTTGCTTCCACTTTATGTTGAAAAAGATCCAGATTATTTGATCAGCTTCATTTTCTTAAGAATTTTCAAGCGGTTTTGAACACAAGCTCTTGCTTCATTAAGCAACAAGTAGGAGCTGGGATCAAGTGTTTTGAAGATGAATAGAACTTACATTGAGGAAGTCCGTTTTCAGGTAGGAAAGAGCTAGGAATCAAATGATCAATTTCAGCTTCTTTTTTTTATTCATAGTACTGTATATTTTTTTGCCGATTCCTTTTGTAAACAAGTAAAACCTCATTGATGTTTGCACACAATCTGTTTACAGAACTCAATATCAGGAAGGTGCTTCTATAAATAGCCTCCCAAATGTAAATTATTTTATGCATGCTCTTCTAAAGTCACATCATGTTTTTAATACCCTGTGGAAATTTTTTAGCTGTGATCGTAATAACATGGGAAGTTTCATTTTTCAGCACTCAAGGGGCACAAGTGTGCCAAAAATTTTATGATGTTGTCCATACTTCAAAAATGTACGAGATATGAATAAAAATTTTAATGCTTCTCTAATAGGTTCATACTTCTATTTCATTGATGGACGCATTTATATAATTTATTCACTTTCCTAGTGGAAAGTTGTGATACTCTAGTAGTTATTAATCTATGTAACTTGGAAATATTGTACATTATCTCACTTGCTGTATTCTTTCAGGTATTAGCTTTACAAATTCATCATATAGATCAACATTATCTCAGACACACAGTTTTATTACTGTCATCGCCAACACTTGTCTGTATGCTGAAGTTTCAGTATTTGTCATATCTGACTCCTATTAATACCAGTTCAACCTTGTAGAAGACAATACAAAGATGTCAGCTCAAATATTTGTATAACATATCAAAAAAGTCTCTCTGAATAAGGTTTTATTTGCATTTGCAGATGCTCTGTATGCTTAGGTGATTATCAACCAGAAGAACGTCTTCAAAGAATACCTTCCTGCGGTCACACTTTTCATATTGACTGTATTGACCATTGGCTTGTCAGCCACGCAACCTGCCCCCTCTGTCGAGTCTCGCTTCTTCCTGCATCCAAAATTTCAACTGATCAACCATATCAAGAAAGCCAAACCAGCGAACCTCAACTGCAAGAACCATCTTCTGGAGTCGAGAGAACATGGGATGATGCTGGTACTGCACGACAAGCAGAAGAAACTGGCAGTTATAATGATGAAGTGTCCATTGTAATTAATATAGACAGCCATGGTAGCGTCGAAGACAATGTTAGAACAGTGGATAGAGTGTGATAAAATTTTCGGTTTTCCCCCCTTATATTATCGAGATTGTTTACATCTCTGTACTGGATATTGTCAGCCCTGAGTACAAGTTGTACAACTTTGTAAATTAATTTATTGAGAACTATTTCCACTTTTATATCTCAAATTTATTCTCATTTAACTCAGAAATATAAAACATCTGTGAGTTGTTCCAGGTTTGAGAAAGCATAAAGGGGGAAGAAAAGTCAAAAGATTGGGTATACAAACATTTCCTTTGATTGCACAAGCTTGAGGATTGCCCTTCCTCTTATCCTGAAAGATACTTTGTGGTGACTAATCTTATTTTGATGACTTACCCACTAAG